AACGATGGTTGACTTTTTTTTCGAACTAGTGCCACGTAGGCTAAAAAGGGGTAGAAAATTACATATTAAATAAGTTCAGGGGGGTAATAGGACCTTAGTATAGTATAAGTGTGTCTCTGGAATTTCGGACATAGGTTGAGGGGGTACTTGGGTATTTTCCCATTTTTTAGACTACTTTTTGAACGTTCTTTCAGTTTTACCCTTCACGGCTTCACTAGTTAGTATTGGAATTAGTTATTAACTAATGTTTAATTATTTTAAGGGTAAAAATAAAAAATTGTACCTGATTTATGTCTTAATCTTCTTTTTTTTTGAAGCATTACAATTAATTTGAAATGGAAGGAGTATTACACAAATGACTTAAATTTAAATTATTTTATTTTTTATTTTATTTAAAGATTATTTTTCGATTTATTATTTTGATGGTTAAATTTATTTCTTCACTCATTTTTTGTAAAATTTATCATAAATTACTACATCAAAAATGATCTTTAGCGTCAATTAATTATCGACAATAGCTCATTTGCCGCTAAATATGTATTTTTAGTGGCAATTTTGTGCTCTTTGTATATGTCCCTAAAGCCTTTAGCAACATTGCATCTGATGACACTTAACTAATGCCGGTAAAAAGTTTAGCACTCTTTATTAAGGTGCTTATATATTGCCACTAAAAGTTGTTCTAGTTGTAGCGAATGTCCTAATTATTATTTTTTTATATAGATACAAAAAATAAATTACTTTCTTCAAACAAAATTGTCGATGCTTGAAACAATTTTGTCTTCTCCATACTACTATATTTCTATAGACAATGAGGAACTACTAAACTCAATCACTTATTATTATTACTTTTAAGTTATTTGTCGTGGTAAATTTAGTTTTAAATTTTTTTTCTTTTCATTTACACTTTTTATTTTATTCTCATACTTTTATGCTAGAAATGAAAGAAAATAATTTAAATAATGATATCTATAAGAGAGATATCAAAAATTTAAAATTAGTTGTTGAATCAAATAAGTAAAAGAATCATGTTTAAAGAAAAATCAACTATACCCTAAATTTTGCTAGAATGATCATATTCAAAATCAATAATTACGTTTTTATTAGATAAAAATGATATATGTGAGTCATTTTCATAACAGTAAAAATAGTATAAGCAACTTTCATAAATAATCAGCTTTAAATCATAAAATTGAAGGATACATCAAACAATTTTTCTATTACTCCTTCTGTTCATATTTACTTATCCAGTATACTATAACTAGTTATCCTACTTTACTTATTCGATAATTATCAATTTATATTTATTTTATTGTTGCTATTAAATACTATTTGTATTTTAATATTAAAAATATTTATGGAGTATTCCTTAGAAAATATATCAAAATAAAAATAAAATAAAATAAAATAAATAGAAATAAACGTGGGGTATTATAAATATCTACCAAGATGACATTTATGAAACTACTAATCGGTAGGTGGGAGGTGGGGCTTAAATTTCCATATAAGGAATTCATCACCATTTATATCATTTATATGATTGCATGTAATAGGTATCGGTTCGAATTTAATATATGTTATTTTATTTGTTTTAACTTTATATAATATAGATGAAATTTGGAGAGTTAAATAATTTTTATATAATATAGATAAAATTTGGAAAGTTAATTAATTTTTATATATGTATTTTTAAAAATATTTCAAGTTATTATCTTTTGTGATTCACATACTTTTTATTATTATTTTTAAATAATATATATTATTTCTTCTGTTACAAATTTTATATAATATTTAAATATTTTCATTTATTAATTAATGTGCTTCATTAATAGTATTTTTATGTGATTTCCAAATACTTTATGTCATTTTTATTTATTTTAATTTTTATTGCACTAATAGCATTTTGAGAATCAATTAAAAAAATTATATACTTATTAAAAAATTATCTTAAGTTGCTAATTCTTATTATTTATATTATTTTTATGTAATAATAATAATAATAATAATAATATATATATATATATATATATTGTTAATTATTGTGATTTGTTGTAACTTTAATGTACTATCCTCCGTTTCTTTTTAATTATCTTCTTAACATGAAATTGTCTGTAAATAATTATCACTTTGTAAATTGAAAATTGAAGTTTATAATTTTTTTTAACTATACCCTTTAGCATTAAAGAATTTTTAGCACTGGTCATCTTCCAAATATAAGAAGTAGAAATAAATTATTCCTTCCGTCCGGTATTATTTGTCATAATTTTTATTTTTAGAGTCAAACTATAAAAATTTTGACTAAATACATTTTTCATCATATTAATATGCAAAAATTGTAAATTATAGTATTTTTCATATAGTTTTAGAATATTTAATTTTTTTTATTTAAAATATCAAATTAATATAATCTAATTTTATCTTTTAAAATTAATCAAATTGACTTTTGATAAATAAGCGCAATATGACAAGCATTTTTGGACGAAGAAAGTAATAAATACACCTCGTAAGTTGTATTTGTTATATATTTATATATGTATTAATGGACGCAAAAAACAAGAGTAGAAACTATGGCTAACAAATTAATAAGAGGGAGTTGAGGTGAAGCATGATCCGTTTTCGTCGTCGTGCCTGCTTTTTTGTGTTTCAATTTTTCTAAAAAAATTTCCATACAAAGAAATTTTTTTTTTTTTAGAAAAATTAAGTAATTATGATGTGATTTCTCTGAAATTATGGAACCTATTTAGTGGTGTTTTAAATTTTTTAATTCATATATTTTACTTATAATTTTTTTATTTTGATTGTCGCTAATATTTGTGTGAATTTTTGCAACTTCTTAGAATAAGAAAAAAACACGTTCGATGAAGAATAATACTTCAGTTATGGATATCTCAATGAATTTCCTCATATTAGGTTTACGATATAAAAAAATGTATTTATAATCACACAAATGTATATGATATATTGTAGAATAAAAATTTCAACACGCTTTATAATTTATCAATATTATTGATAATATTTATCAAGAATTCATTTTATATTTGATGAAATAATTTCCTTTCAACATAAATATATATCTCATTTTAAATAAAAATTTAAACTACTCTAAAAAAAAATTTATGAATCCATAACAAAGTAGGTTGGCGTCAGGGGTGGAGCTACTTTATATGAATGGGATTCTGAATTTCCTCCGACGAAAAATTATATTATTTATACATGGTTAATATAAGTTTATATGTATATATAATAGATGTCGAATTCTTTTCAACTATCTATTCTACAAATTTTGAAACCCCTTATTGAAAATCCTGACTCCGTTTCATGTTCGCTTTAGTGGACCGTATCTCTTTGTCATTAAAATAATGATAACTCAACTCTATAAATAACTTAGAATGATGTAACTCTTCTTGTACTCCACTATATTTTCCATACTAGTAAACAATCCTCTTGAAAGGCATGGGTCTAAAGTCCAAATTGAGTGCCCAAATAGAAGTGAAGGCTAAGAATGATGTGTTTCATGATGCCTTTAGGCACAAACCACATCACATCTCTACCATGACTCCTGTTCACGTACAAGGTTGTGACTGTCTTGAAGGGGACTTTGGAACCGTTGGCTCTAAAATTTGTTGGAAGTATACCCATGGTAAGCCCTATTTTGTCAAAATTATTAAAAATTTACTGACAAGTTTAAGATGTTTCGTTGATATATTAAACGTATACTTAATGTACTATACGTAACGAAATTTTTTATGTTATCCAGATGGGAAAGAGAAGTTTTCGAAGCAGATAATTGAATCTATAAATGAAGAGAAAAAGATAATAACATTCAAAGAATTTGAAGGAGATATAGTGAATGAATATGATAATTGGAAGGTAAGTCTCCATGTTGATGAAGAAGGTGAAAAAGATTTAGTGAGTTGGACTATGGAATATGAAAGGCCAAATGAGAATGTCCCTGAGCTAACTAGTTTGCTTCAATTTTTCATTGATATGACCAAATCTATTGATGATCACCATGTATGTAACAAGCCAATTGACAATATTATAAATTAGAAGTACATGAGTTTGTACTTTTAATTAAATAAACACTTGACATTATATTATATTATTATATAGTATATAATATGAGAGAATGTCAAGATATTTGTGTTTTTCTTTTCTTTTCTAAGTTATAATAATAATAAAGATATTTAAGTTTTTTTTCTATATGCTCACTCTACTTGTAGCGATTTCAATTATTTTTTTTGGTTATTTGATGATATAATTGTATTCGTTAATATACTTAAAACAATTGATTTGCATAATAATTAAATATAACAGTAATTGATATAGCTGTATTTATTGATACTAATCAGTTGTATTTCCTATACAATTATTGATTAGATATATAAATCAAGTGTATCTCTCTCCTAGAATGCGCTCATATCTCTCCTCCCTTTTCAATCTTGTTCAATTCTCTCTTTCTTGTAATATGTAGCTATGAATCTTAATTAAACAAACTATAACTAATAAACTTGAATATATTTTTAATCTTAATTATTATTTTTTAAAATTTCTACATAATAAATTGGTCGGTCAATAACTGGCCTAAACTCAAACTGGGCCAATTTTGCTTTCATGGACCAGGTTTGTCCTCTACTTAAAACATTGTTTTTGAGATACATTTCCTCCATCTTTTTGTACTGGTCGGAGTGTTTCATCATTAATTAGAGGTTTTAAGTTTGAGTCTCGGATATGGAGAAAATTCTATTGGGGCACCACCCTCGAATGAGTTCTGCAGAACGCAATTCGAATTTAGTCAGAACTCTAATATAGACTTCGAACACCGAATAAAAAAAAAACTCAAGACATAAGGTATCATGTAAAATATAGTTCTAGAGGACAAAAAGAAAAATTATAGTTGTAATTGATTGCTGGGGTATTATACAACGGATACAATAAATTACAGTTGAAATAAAATGAACAAAAATGTATAAACAAATCTTTAGGTCGAATCAGGAAAATCTCGCTCTCTTTACGGAGATCTTCAAGTCCACTGCGGCATAATCTACACCAATCCAACAGTAATATTCTTGACTTGTCTCCAGGATACAACAACCTAACAACATGTAAAACTCAAGTAACTCCGGATTAGTTGAAGAGTCTAAAACTCCATAGAAACAACATCATCCTTCAACATATAATACTCTATTATGTACATAATGAATATGGTTGAAGAGTTAGAATATTATTCTCTGTCTCAACTCTCTCTTTCACTACTACACTAATCTCAATATAAACATAATAAAATACTCCTCATTTTTCACTCTATATTTACTGGTACTTCTCTTGTTTTTTCTTCTCTCCAACACAAAGGAATACTACGTTATTTATAGTTGATGAATTCTTTCTTGCGATGAATAGGAAGATAGTGGATAGTAAATTTGTCAAATGGATAATTCAAATGTTACATAAATTACAAGAAATAAATATAGAATAATAGATGAAATAAAGAGTTCGTGGTTACATAAGTTACTAAAAACTAATGACCATTTTCTTTCACATGAGAGTAAAGAGCACATTTATCAATAGACATAACATGATATAAAATATATTTTCATTAATACTAAACTATGACACTAACATTGATTATTTGGGAGGACTCGATAATTTCTTGAATATTTGGAATAGAGTTAATTAGGGGTATGCATTCGATTTTCGGTTCGGTTTCATTTTTTTTGTTTTTTTTAATTTTCGGTTCTTGTAAATTGTGTACCGAATACCGAATTGAAATATTTCGATTTAGTTTGATTTTTTTGTTTCGATTTTTAATGGGCCTGCTTAGTGGGCTTTTTAAAATTTTAAACTTTACAATTTTTTTGTTTGATTTTTGCTGGACGCCGATCACCGGTTGAAAACTTGAAGTTGCTGCAAGCGGCTGCTGCTGCCGCCTGAAAGAGGAAGAGGAAGAGCTACTGCCTGTAAGCGGAGGAGGAGACTACAAGATGAATACTAAAAATTAAATTAGAAATAGGGACATTACATAGGGTTTCACATTCTTTTTTTTTAAAGATTATTTAACATTAATGATTATTAATTAATATAATATAAATTATAGTATAATATTTCAATTTAAACCGAAATATCAAAAACCAAAATAATACGTACCGAAAATCGAACTGAAATACCTAAAAATATAAAAAAAAAAAATCGAATACCGAACCGAAAATCAAAATACCAAAATTAAAATTTTGAAAAAATTTCATTCGGTTCGATTTTCCGATATTTATGTATTAGTATAAAAAGAAATATACCAAGTTAATTTGATAGTCAAGTAATTAATTAAGTATTGTCATTACCCTCCTCTAATGAATTGTTTAATCTAAGCACATATTTAGAGCCTGTTTGGCTCAACTTAAAAGCTGGTCAAACTGACTTAAAAGCTGATTTTTGACTTATTTAGCTGTTTGGCAATCCTCAAAATAACTTATTTTAAGTTAAAAAAAAACTTATTTTAAGCAAAAAGTTAAAAGCTGGGGTAGGGGTACTTTTTTTTCCAGCTTATAAGCTGTTTTAAGTTGACCAAATTTTTACTTTTTTACCCTTAATATTTTTATACAATCTCCAAATTACCCACTTAACCCTAACATCTCTTTCTTCTATTTTTTCCGTTTCACGTGTGGATGATAGACAA